ATGGCAAGGTTATGCATATGCTTCGCGACAGTTGAAGATTCACGAGAAGAATTATCCAGTTTATGATTTGGAGCTAGCAGCCATTGTTCACGCGCTGAAGATTTGGAGATATTATTTATATGGCGTGTCGTGTGAGGTGTTCAAGGATCACAAGAGTTTGCAATACTTGTTCAAGCAGAAGGAGCTAAATTTGAGGCAGAGAAGGTGGTTGGAGCTGTTGAAAGACTATGATATTACCATCTTGTATCATCCTGGGAAGGCCGATGTGGTGGCCGATGCTTTGAGTAGGAAGTCAGCCAGCATGGGCATCCTTGCGTATATTTTGGTCGATGAGAGGCCACTTGCTTTGGATGTTCAGGCGTTAGCCAATCAGTTCGTGAGGTTGGATGTTTCTGAGCCCAGCCGTGTTCTAGCTTGTACAGTCGCTCGGTCTTCATTATTTGAGCGTATCAGAGATCGGCAGTATGATGACCCTCATTTGCTTGTCCTTAGGGACACAGTGCGGCACGGTGGTGCTAAGCAGGTTACAGTCGGAGATGATGGAGTTTTGAGGATGCAGGGTCGTGTTTGTGTGCCTAATGTGGATGGACTTTGTGAGTTGATTCTAGAGGAAGCCCATAGTTCCCGGTATTCTATTCATCCGAGCACCGCTAAGATGTATCAGGACTTACGGCAGCATTATTGGTGGAGGAGGATGAAGAAGGATATTGTTGGTTATGTAGCTCGGTGTTTGAATTGTCAGCAGGTAAAGTACGAGCATCAGAGACCTGGTGGTTTGCTTCAGAAGATTGAGATTCCCGAGTGGAAGTGGGAGCGTATCACTATGGACTTCAATTTTGGACTCCCGCGGACTCAGAGGAAGTTCGACGCGATATGGGTTATTGTTGATAGGCTGACTAAGTTAGCGCATTTCATTCCTGTGGCAGTTTCCTATTCTTCAGAGAGGTTAGCTGAGATCTATATCCGGGAGATTGTTCGTCTTCATGGTGTGCCCGTGTCTATTATTTTCGACCGGGGTACTCAGTTTACCTCGCATTTCTGGAGGGCAGTTCAGTGTGAGTTGGGTACACGGATCGAGTTGAGCATAACATTTCATCCCCAGACGGACGGGCAGTCCGAGCGTACTATTCAGATTTTGGAGGATATGCTCCGAGCATGTGTTATTGACTTTGAAGGGTCTTGGGATCAGTTCTTGCCATTAGTAGAGTTTGCCTACAACAACAGCTACCAGTCGAGCATCCAGATGGCTCCCTATGAGGCATTATATGGTAGGCAGTGTCGGTCACTGGTTGGGTGGTTTGAGCCGGGAGAGGCTCGGTTGTTGGGTACAAATTTAGCTCTGGATGCCTTGGACAAGGTTAAGATCATTCAGGATAGGCTTCGCACAGCTCAGTCCAGGCAGAAGAGTTATGCCGACCGCAAGGTTCGTGATGTGGCATTCATGGTCAGAGAGCGGGTGTTCCTTCGGGTGTCGCCCATGAAGGGCGTGATGAGATTTGGGAAGAAGGGCAAGCTAAGCCCTAGATTCATCGGACCTTTTGAGATCCTTGGTCGAGTGGGAGAGGTGGCTTACAGACTTGCGTTGCCGCCGAGTTTATCAGCTGTGCATCCAGTGTTTCATGTGTCCATGCTTCGGAAATATCACGGCGATCCATCCCACGTGTTAGACTTCAGCACTGTCCAGTTGCACAAGGACTTGACCTATGAGGAGGAGCCGGTAGCTATTCTAGACCGGCAGGTTCGTCAGTTGAGATCGAAGAGTTACCCTTCGGTTCATGTTCAGTGGAGAGGTCAGCCTGTTGAGGCAGCTACCTGGGAGTCCGATTCCGATATGCGGAGCCGATATCCCCATCTTTTCACCGACTGAGGTACTTTCCTATATCTGTTCGAGGACGAACGGTTGTTTTAGAGGTGGAGAATGCGATGACCCAAAAGGTCATCTCTTGTTTTAGCAGTCAAATCTGTGTTCTGAGGCCTTAAAAACCTCCTTTTGTCTTACCTCGATTTGCGTGCGCAGTCCGGGCATATATCCGGAGAGCCTTTATGTGAAAACTTGAGAAAAATGCTAATTTTGCCTTTAAAATTAAATTTAAGTTGACTTTGGTCAATATTTTGGGTAAATGGACCCGGACCCCTGATTTGACGGTCCCGGAGGGTCCGTAGAAAAATATGAGACTTGGAGGTATGCCCGAAATTGAATTCCGAGGTCCCTAGCCCGAGAAAAGAATTTTTAAAGAAAATTGTTTGCTAGAAAATATAAAGACTTTTGGAAATGAAATGGTGTGTGTTCTTGATGGTATCGGGCCCGTATTTTGGTTCCGGAGCCTGGTACAGGTTTAAAATAATGTTTAAGTCAAATCTGCGAAATTTGGTAAGAATCGGAGTTGATTTGATATAAATCGGACCCTCGGTTGTAAAAATAGTAACTTTAGGTGTTCTTGAGAATTTCATTGATTTTGAGGCTAAATTCGTTGTTTAAGATGTTATTTTGGCGATTTGATAGCACGAGCAAGTCCATATGATGGTTTTAGACTTGTGTGCATGTTTGGTTTGGAGCCCCTAGGGCTCGAGTGAGTTTTGGATAGGCTACGGAGTGTTTTGAGACTTAAGGAAATTGCTGGTATGATTGCAGGTATGCAGACATCGCATTTGCGAAGCCTGGCTCGCAAATGCAAGCACCGCAATTGCGAAGGCTCATCGCAATTGTGAAGACTGGGCTGGGCAAGGGACCTTCGCATTTGCGAAGTTCATCGTCGCAAATGCGACATGCACAGTAGCCACAATTGCGAACAATGTTCGCATTTGCGAAGGCAGCAGGCCAGGCGAACCTTCGCATTTGCGAACATTTTATCGCAAACGCGATACCTGCAACTGTGTAAATTATAACTTAGACGGGATTTTCATCATTTTTCAAATTCTCTCAAACCCTAAGATCTCATAGGCGATTTTTCAAAGAAAAGTTCTTCCCCAAATCATAGGTAAACAACTTCTAACTCATTTCTCTCAATCTACTTCATCTTTTACAAGATTTCATCACAAAATCTAGGATTTTCATGGGAAATTGGGTGTTTTTGGGTGAAATTTGGGAATTTCAAAATTTGGGGAATTAGACCTCAAATTGAGGTCGGGTACCAAAACTAATTGCATATCCGGGCTCGGGGGTGAATGGGTAATCGGATTTTGGTCCGAACCTCGAGTTTTGACCAAGCGGGCCCGGGATCGATTTTTGACTTTTTGGGGAAATGATAGAAAACCTATAACTAAGCGTTGGAGTTGAATTCTTTATCATTTATTGTTGTTGTTAAGTTAATTATGGCTAGATACAAGTGAATTGGAGACGAAATCTAAGGGAAAAACGGTATTTGAGGCTTGAGTTTGGCCGTGGAATACGAGGTAAGTGTTTGGCCTAACCTTAGCTTGAGGGAATAGGTGTTGTGTCTTATTTTCTACGTGTTAGTGTTGTGTACGACGTATAGGTGTGGTGACGAGTATCTATACGTTGGTGTCAAGCATGCCCGTGAGTCTTATATTGTGATTGTGGTGATTCTCATTATGTACTATCCATGCTTAAATTGAAGATTATCCCTGTTGAACAAGATTATGATAGTTTCGTGGTATTTGACCGTTGTTGAGTATTGGTTCAAGTTGAGATTCATTTTGTGAAGATTACTGTTGGAACGAGATTGGTTATAGATGATTCCCTTGCCGGAATTTGTATTTGTTTTCATTGTTGATTCCCTTGCCGGGATGTTATTGTTGCTATTGTTTGGGTGAGGAAAGAGTGATAAAGCACGAAGGGTGATGTCGTGCACATTTACATTTATATTGATGCATATGGTGAGGAAGAGAGATAAAGCACGAAGGGTGATGTCGTGCACATTCATACTTATGCATATGGTGAGGAAAGAGTGATAAAGCACGAAGGGTGATGCCGTGCACATTTACATTTATATTGATGCATATGGTGAGGAAGAGTGATAAAGCACGAAGGGTGATGCCGTGCACATTTCCATTATTGATTGCATGGTGAGGATTGAGAGTAAAAGCACGAAGGGTGATGTCGTGCATTTGTTTTCTGTTGCTGTGATTATTTGCTGTTATCGGTTCAAGTGCCTTGATTGTTTCGTTTCCGTTATTTCTGTGTGTCCTTATTCTGGTATCCCCCATAGCATGTTGCCCCTTCCCGTAAACTTTAGATAGCTTCTACTATTGTTAACTGCACAGGTTTATGATGTTGGTCGTGTCCTAGCCTCGTCATTACTTCGCCGAGGTTAGGCTCGGCACTTACCAGTACATGGGGTCGGTTGTACTGATGTTACGCTCTGCACTTTTGTGCAGATTCCGATACTGGACCCTACGGACCGTAGTTCGAGGTTGCTTCCTTCAGTCCAGTGGAGACCCGAGGTAGTCATGCAGGCGTCCGCAGGCCTTGGCGTCCCCTTCTATTCTGTTTTATCTATTTCTGAGACAGATTTGTATTTTCTTGTTCATACCACTATTTGTAGTATTCGTAGACAGTCCGTGAAATTGTGACACTAGTTCTGGGTGAAGTTTTATTATGGATTTCGTATTAGTATTAAGTTAAACTGTTAAATTCTGTTCTTCCGCATTTTGATTTTCGCTGATTTACTTACATCATATGGTAAAATGTTAAAGATAAGGAAAGAGGTAAAATAACCGGTAACATTGGCTTTCCTAGCGTTCAATGTTAGGCGCCATCACGGTCCCGACAGTGGAAAATTCGGGTCGTGACATGCGTCCTAAGTTTCAGGTTTCCAATTCAATTTTTCAGGATAAAAATTTCCTGAACTATCTTGAAGTTAAGATTTTTAATTTAAAATTTTAAGACAAAATAAGTACTGGCTAATCTCTAAATAGCATCCTTGAGAATAGCTATCTGTGCACCTGAGAGTAATCTGATTTCATAAAAATAGTTTACAAATGTATAATATATTTATAGGCTCTGAGTAAAACATAAAAAGATCAACATAACATTCCACTTGAAAATGAATTGTAAAAGATTTTATTAGGCAATAGAGGCTGAAGCCCCAATATCTGTTACAATGACAAACAACTATGTACAGTAAGAAATAAAGATTTTATTATATCTCTCTCAGTTATGATATATATATTTTTTTCTCTTTAAAGTTTTTTCTTTTGCTTTCTGGTTTCCATTAAAGTGGATCTTCTCCCAATTTGTCTTTGTCCTCCAATTTTTGCTTGCCAATAATCCTCAGCTTTTGTAGTTTCTTCTTCACTTACCCATCCTTCTTTCATCAATTTCTGTTGGTAGTACTTAAATCCCACATACAACATAAAAACTGCAAAAAAACAAAAAATGTTGATTAACTCGAATTTTCGTTCAACAAAATGTTTGAAGTTTTATTCGAATAAAAAAAGTAGTCGGGTGCACAAAGCATCCCGTATTCACGCAGGGTTCGAGGAAGGGCCGCACCGGCACACCCCTAAGGGTGTGATATAGACAACTTACTCTAATGCAAGCATTAGTAGCTGCTTCCACGGCTCGAACCCGTGATCTATAGGTCACATGGAGACAACTTTAACGTTGCTCCAAGGTTCCCTTCTGAAGTTTTATTCGAGTAGGCTGTAAAAATTGAAGCTACATAAATAGAAATAAAAGGGAAATTAATTTTTTCACGAATATTAGTGATTTTACCTGCCCAAATTCTAGCAGCAATTGAAGACAAATTCCATACGAGTGTGAATATTGCAAATGCAACAGCTTTCTTGTGAGTACATGATTCCCAAGCATCTCGAAAGCGTCTAATCCAAAATGTACCTTCATATTGCATTTGCACGTTATGAAAATTTTGATTTTCCAAATTAAAAAAAAAAAAAGATTTTAAACAAATCCACGAAATACAAAGTTTTAGGCAAAACAAGACACCGAAAGTTTCTTTAAATTATCTATTTATCTTTAGTCGAGGTATATTGGAAACAGTCTCTCTATTTTTACAAAAATAGAGATAAGGCTATGGATACATAACTACCCTTCCCAGACTCCACTTATGGGATTTCACTGGGCATGTTATTATTTATATTAACAATAACAATATAAAAAACTAAAAATAAACTACAGATAATTAGTCATAATAAATGAGTTAGTCACCTAAAAAAATAAGGCAATAATCTGATGTAACAAATTAAATTACAATATATCTTTCTAATGAAATTTGAGGTAGACTTGTATTATTATATACTTCTCTGTCTATCAACAATTTAGACCAAAATATTCATGAATCAAATATGTGATGCAAGACTAGGTACCAAACATGAATACCATACAACTTTGTAAATAAATTAAGCTTCTTCTTGATTTATCCTTACTAATGTAGAAAATAAAAAATAGAGGGTAATAAATTTTGGATTGATAATTGAAATGGACCACTTTATGAAAATGACATTGTATAGTCGCTCTAAAAAAAATAGCCGGAAATTTGTGTGTATATGTACTAATTTCTGTATATATACTAATTTTATATACTTTTGCAGCTATCGAATGTAAATAGTTTCGGCAGCGAGTTAAAAGTGATCTCAGTGGGTTGACCTCAGTTACTACTTTTATATACTTTTGCAGCTATCGAATGTAAATAGTTACTCGCCGTATATTTAAGTTACTAATTTCACTTAGCATAGTGGGTTGACCTCAATGGCGGATCCAGATTTTGTGCAAAGGTTCAATCTTAGAACTACATAACTTTAGTCGTAAAATAGTAGTTGTCAAGCGGGTTCAAATAAAATCATTATATAAAATTTACGCAGCTTTAATCGTAATTTATACATATACACAGTATTATTTTTTGATGAAGCGGGTTCAGTTGAACCCGCTTGCCACCACGTGCGTCCGCCACTGGTTGAACTATAGTTATCTTTTATTTGATAGTTTAAAATTTGTGATTTAGTGTAAATATGGAGTAAGTTTTTACCATATAGTAGTAACTTAAACTGGTATAAAAAGGTAGAAGATGTGAGAATAAAATTCAGAAAAATTAAAAAAAGAGAGAATGGTGAATATTTTTTTACCATAGGCAGTTAACTGAGTGGAATAAGAAGAACAAACTTTTGGTACAATGAAAACTCCAAAAAAGCCTGCAAACAGCCAAAAAACCAAGTGTCAGCAACAGCTATAGTGAGTGAAAAGGTTAAAAAAGAATGTTCAGTTTTTCTCTGCTTTTCCTGAAAAAATATGTACTTTAATTTCACATTCCTTATAAAATCAGTTTATTTTTCATGATATTTTTCTAAAATTGTTCACTCAGAGATTGTACATAAATCTATTTTAGTTTTAGCTTTTGTAAACTTTATTTAAAAAAACTTGAAGAATAAATATTCAAACTAATAATTAGATAGTTTGACTTCCGTACTCCGAACCCTACCGCAAACAGGGGCAGATCCACCTTGCAACCTACGAGTTCACGTGAACCTAGTAATTTTTGTCCAAATAATGTAAATGTGTACGAAAAATTCACTAAATATCTATAAATATTTAAATGCGAATCTAATTACTGTTGAAAATTTACTCGAGATAGTTGCAGGAACCTTTAAACATTAAATCCTAGATCCGCCTCTGATCGGAAAGAAGTAGTTTAGCATATAAAATTCACATATACCACTTCTCACCAAAAACACTTCCCAAGTTTCATTCTCTTTGGGTGTATTTTTATTTTTTTTTTTTAAAAATATTTACCAAGAAAATGGAAAGAAGTAAAAATAAAACAGGGAGTAAAACATGTTTTAACTTTTAACCATATTAGATGCAACTCACCTAATTTGGACATTTTCCAAATAGTTATGGAGCTGCCACATCTAGCCAAAATAAACAGCAGAACTGCCATCTGTAGAGGCAAAATTTTGTCAACTTTCAAATAGTTGAAGTCAGATCAAAATTGTTTTTTTTTAATTAAAAAGAATACAAAGAAATGAAATGGGAAATTTTGGATTTTTCTTTACCTTCATTGTAGTAGCAGGATCCCCAGAAAAAAGGGCTCTAATTTTCAAGAGACATTCATTTATGTATGGCAGTATCAATTTCAGTATCCACATTGCTTCTTCTTCTCCTACTATATATTCACTTGACTCATTTATATCATTGGCACCCCTATATAAATAAATAAATTAATTAATTAAAAAGAAAAATTCGATCAAAGAAATAATATTTCCTTAAAAGAAAATAGGGCTAATTTCAATGTCACTGGATGTTATCCGCTGTAATAATAAAGTCATAGAAATATTTTTTTGATAGAAATGACACCAGGTAGCCACTCTAAAGGGATGCTATTTAAGAATTAGCCAATTCGTCCCGAATTTTAGCTTTTTAGTTCAATTATTCTGGACAAAAGTATCATGAATTGTCCTGAAGTTAAGAGTTTTAGTTTAAAATTTCAAGATAAAATAAATATTAGGTAATCTCTAAATAACATTCTTGAGAATGGCTATTTGTGCACTTGCACCTATTTTTTGCCACATTAAATATAAAAGAAGTAACTTAACAACTAGCTTTATCTACTATAACATTAAAGTTTTTTTGGAAAATTCCAAGGAAGACCCGCAACCCCTATCCTTTGGGTGTGCACTGGGTAACCTTTTCACTGTGCAATAGGTCGTAAACCACACAGGAAATGTAAACTGCACTAGGCAAGTTCGGAGCGACAAGCTCTGAGTTACGGCTGGTGAAGGGAATCGATCTCAAGTCTTTCACGTGGGAAACTACTCACCCAACCAACTCAGTCAACCCTTGCGGGCCTATAATACTAAAGTTACAACTAGCTTTTGTAGCATTACAGTAATTGAGCTTTAATTGCTGTAACAATTTTTTTTTACCTGTGAATATTGAGGGATCTAAATAGAAAGATTGCAGCAAGGTAGACCAGACCCAAGTAGGAGAGAACAGAAATGAAGCTGTAAAAAAAGACAAATAAATAATTTTAGTTACTAGTATTGTTTTTGGTTATTTCAAGAATTAAGAAAGAAAAATCTGAATTTTTTTTTTTCTAAGTGTAAGTTCTGAATTACCTGATACTGAGATCTTGAGTATATGAAGATGAAATGATGACAAAAGTTCCAATTCCAAAAATTAATGCTGATTTTGATACATCTCTCCACATAACCAAATCAACTAAAGAAAATGTCCAAAACAAAGAAGAGAAAATCAAGTCCAACATTTGCAGAATTACATTGAAATTTAAAAAAGAGAAATTACCAAAGCTTTCTAGTTTGCTATGTTGTCTTGGAATATTCTGAAATTCATCTGAAGTTGGAACTGAAAATGTAACATAAAATGAAAGTGAATTCAGAACATAACCTTAAACAACAACAACCACAAACCTAGTAAAATTTCATAAGTGAGGTCTGGAGAGGGTAGCATGTATGCACAATGGCGGAGCTAGTAGCCCTGCTACGGGTTTAGGCGAACCAATAAATTTTGTTCAAACAGTGTATTTGTATTAAAAGATTATTAAATATGTATAGATATTAAATGTAGAACTCAGTTATTAACATTTGAAGTCACCATACTGAAATCCAGAACACCTAAGGTTGAAATTTAGGCTCCAGCTCTGTGTACGCAAACTTTACCACTACCTTCGGGAAGGTAAAAACGCTATTTTCAGATAGACCTTCGGCTCAAGAAAAGAAGCAAAAAGAAGCAATAACATAAGCAGAACACAACCTTAAAAAAACAAAATGATAGAAAAAAAGAAAAAAGAATTAAGGAAATTGAATTTACCTGATTTGGTTCTTGTTGGACTTTGAAGATGAATTTTAGCTTGGCCTGAAATTGGAGGAGACTGTTTCTTGATAATTGGAGAAATTGGAACTGATTTTTCATTGCTAATTTGAAGTTTTTTCTCTTCAATTACAACCTTTTTAGACTTATTTTCTGCTACATTAATCTCTTTAACATCAACACTTAATTCCTTTTCAATTTCCTCATCAAAAACCTCATCCAATTCTTCTTCATTTTCTTCATTTTCAAGATTCAACTTTTCTTTAGCACTACACTTGTCTTGAGATTCTTTACAATTTTCTTCATTGCTTGTTATAACTTTCTCTTCACATATTCCAAATTCTTTACAATTTTCTTCATTTTCAAGATTCTTTTTTGACTCCTCTACACCACCACCACCAACAACAACCTTATTTTCCTCAAAATTCTTACATTTCTCTTCAACTTCTTTACTTGTAGCTGATTTTGCTTTCACCAGCTGAACTGAATTCCTCAAATTCCCATTAACAGACATAGATTTTACTTTCCTTAATTCAGAATTCTTCTCATTTTCATCCTCATTTTCTCCCTTATTAGCCTCTGATTTCACTTTCCTTAATAATACACTTGATTTCTTGTTCTGAACTGGACTTTTCTTCATTTCTTCAGCTGAAACTGTACTCAATTCTTTACACTGTTCATCCAAATTCTTGTTCAATTCAGATCTTTTTCTTGAAATCTGAATTGGGTTCCCTTCAAAATTACTCTCAGATTTCCAAGTTTTTCTCTTGCCATTCATTACACCACCAACACCAAGATTAGATTTTGACCCCATTTTCAACTTTTTGTCTACTTGATTTGTTTCACTAGTAGTACTAATTATAGTAATAGTACTATTTTTCTCATCATTTTTTACTTCTGGGGTTTCTTCTTCTTTTTCACTATTGCTATATACTTTGATCCCACCTTTGACTTCATCATATTTCATCCTATTTTCCCATACAGAACCTGACATTACACCATTTCTTGAAATTTTGCTCCTCCTCTTACTAACCACTTCCATTTTTCTGTTATTGTTGATTCTTGATTATACTGAGGACTTTTAGTGGGGTTGGGTGGGTGGGGGGTCACTGGTTGTGTATTAATGGAGTAACAAATTTCAGCTGAAGATATTGAGAGGGGTGTGATGAAAGTTATGAATAACATTGGATCCCATAACACCAGAAAGAGAGAGAAGAGCAGAGTATTCATTTTTGGTTTTTCTTCTTTTGGCTCTTTTTAATGTGGTGATTTCATTTTTTTTTTCATTTTTTCTTTTTGTGAGTTTAACTTCTTCTTTTTTACAAAGTGGAGATAAGGTCTGCGCACACACTACACTCTCTAGACCTTATTCTTGTGGGATTACACTTGAATTATTATTGTTGTTGTTGTTGGACTAAGAGGATCAACAATAACGGGGGAAGTGCACAAATAGTCATTCTTAGGGTTACTATTGAAGGATTAGCCAATACTTATTTTGTCCTGAAAATTTGAACTAAAAATCTTAAATTCAGGACAATTTAGGACGTTTATGTCCCGAAAAATTAAACAAAAAAACTGAACTTCAGGATATATTAGCTAATTCCTAAATAATTAAGGTGACTACCTGGTGTTATTTCTAAACAATAACAAGTAATTATCTCTACTAATCCTAATTGATAGCTTAAAAATGGGAGAAATTCAAAAATAGCCAGATTTACAAGTGGTCATTCAAAAATAGCCCAGTTTCAAAAGTAATCGAAATTTAGCCACTTTTCATGTAAAGATAAATTTGAGCGAAAACACTATTCAAAACCCGAAAAATACGTCAATATATTATGCTGGAGTTCCAGCATAAGTATACTTGAACTCCAGCATATTATACTGGAGTTCCAGGATAAGTATGCTGGAACTCCAGCATAATAGGATGGAGTTCCAGCATAAGTACACTAGAACTCCAGCATAATATACTGGAGTTCCAGTAAAGTATACCGGTCCAGTATAATATGCTGGCAGTTCATACACAAGTGCTCGAATCTCCAATATATTATGCTTGAACTTTCCGCGTGTTGGAGTTCCAGCATAATATGCTGGAAGTTCATACACAGGTGCACCGAACTCCAGTATAATATGCTGGACCGGTCTCTGTGTCCGAAAACTGGCTAGACCGTACTATTTTTACCTTAAAAATGTACTCCACCCATTTTACTTTACGTACCTTATTCTTATTTTTAACTCTTTAAAAAAATCACGTTTCTATAGTAAATATTTAGTTTCAACACTCTCATTTTATTTCAATGGTACTCTCTTATGGAAAAATATGTATGTTTAATACCACAAAATTCAAAGAATAATTTTAGTATATTATACACAACTTTAAGTTAATAGTGTGATATAAAAATATCTTTTATATTCTTAAAACTGGTGTTCAGTAGAACTAAGACACAAAAATATCATTAAAAAGGTGAAAAATAACCTACTATAATAAATTAAATATATTATCAATGTAAATTATTTGTACCTTCTATGATTATATGATATAAGATAAATCCCTCTTTCATTCATTCTTTTTGTAGCCAAAAAGAAGAGCAAAGAAAAGTGGAAAAGGGTAAAAAAAATATCTAAGGGAATAATGTGAGAGTAATGATGAGGTAAATGAGGGGAATTATAGATCCTTTGGTATTTTGTACCACTGTTTTGAAAGGCAGAATCGGGACTCGCTCGGGATTCGCCCCGGGGCGGAGCACTCATAAAACGGCCCTAGGCTTATGTGTGGGGCTTAGTTCCGTGAGACTTACGCCTCGGCTATCGGGGCTTACGCCCCAGACACACCCAGCGCCCAGCGTACTGGGCTTGCCTAATAGAACTTTATGCAATTCTATGTAACTAACCTTGTAAATCCTCAAATTTTCTTAATAAATTATTGACTAGTCAAAGTTACTTTTTTCTTAATCATAAATCATTAAGTTAAGAGTATTTTATGTCATAATTAAAATAAAAAATATTGCACGTTACCTACTAAGGCTACTATGATAGTTAATTTTAAATACATCTTTCATTTAAAAGGTATTTATTTATTAACTTTTGTTATGTCTTTACTATATAATAGTCCATAATTTTTTATAATTATTTTTCTAAATATTGTTTTTCACGTTTAGGAGATACAATACTTATTAATTTAATAGCTGAGTATTAGCTAGTAACTATTTACAAATAATTAGTTATCATCGTATTGTATGGTAAATTATGTGTCACTTTATTAACTTGTTGAAACATAAAAATAAATGATGCTAGAGAATCATATTTAAATTGTGAAATATGTTTTTATATAAATTCTCTTTCGAACAGAAAGCATATTAAATAAAAGGAGTATTTTAAGAAAAAATATCAAATTATAATATCGAAATTCTTTCCAGATTCATTACTACTTAAGAGATTCATATAAGATTTCGTATCGAATACATTACTTTTGATGTTTGAGTTGTAACGATGTTGCAACTAATTTGTATATTATGATATATGTCATACTTTTAGTATTATTCATAGTTGAAGTATAATTTATAAATATTTTAAATAGACTGTTTGTTATAATTTTTTGATATAATGTAATTTTTATAATTATTTTTTATTTTACACTATCTTAAAATTCTTGCAATTTAGTAAAATTTAAAGATCCTTGGGACTTACGCCTAATGTCTTGGGACTTACGCCTCTTGTCAGAGGTAAAACGCCTCGCCTCACGCCCCCGCCTTTTAAAACGTACATTCACATTTATGTCAAATCTCTGTGACTCTCTCTAACAGAAGTCTTTCTCCTCACATGGCATGCCTTTGTTTTCCTTTGTACTTTTACTACAAAAAAATTCTTTGGCCAAATACATATACAACCCATTCAACTTAGTTCCATTTTTTATTTTGGCACTCTATCTTAATTTTGTTCCATTTTGGCCCTCCAACTCTATTTTATATGTTTTATTTTGGCCTTCCAACTCTATTTCTTATGTTTCACTTAACACAAAAGCTGAAACCAGTGCAAAAAATATAGCGCGTGTGTATACACAAATCTGAGGTGTAATAAATATCCAATTAAATGTTGCCACATGATTTTTTCATCCATGTCAAACGGGTCAATACTAAAATACTCGAACCTGACCGTACTTTTTCATCCACTGTTGCCCCATCTTCATTCTCAAAGTTCCAAAGCTTTCATCTGCCGATTTCATAACTGATCATCTAGAAAATTTCAAACTTTTGCAATTTTATTGTTCGTTTATTTATTCTGATTTTTTTGTGGGTTTATTTCATCTAAACTTGAAGTTTGAAGTGAATCCATGTCTCAAAGAAAACTTTTTTTTCATAATGGAATGAGTATTTGTTCTTGTGGATTTCAAGTTGACCTGAAAGTGTCATGGACACCAAGAAATTCAGGTCACCGCTTTTATAGGTGTAAATTTTACAAAGTAAGTGAACCATCTTCGGATTTCATTTTCAGTGTTGTCATTTTCTTGTGTAGTTAAGAAGCGGACTTAATTTTACCCAAATACGATCGGGTTCAGGTATTTTAGTATTGACCCGTTTGACATGGATGAAAAAATCAGGTGGCAACATTTAATTGGATATTTATTATACCTCAGGTTTGTGTATACACACGCGCTATATTTTTTGCACTGGTTTCAACTTTTGTGTTAAAGTGGAACATAAAAAATAGAGTTGGAGGGCCAAAATGGAACAAGGTTGAGATAGAATGCCAAAATAAAAAATGGTGCCAAGTTGAATGGGTTGTATATGTAGTTGGCCAAAATTTTTTCTTATTTTCTTCCTCTTCAACAATTATTTATGATATTTTACTGCAAATAATAGCTTATTCTTCCACATAGATAGGGGCGGAACTAGAAGTCAAAGTATGAGTTTGGTCGAATTTAGTAATTTTGTCCAAACTCTATATTTGTATTAAAAAATTCATTAAATATGTACGAAAATAAAATCCAGAACATATTACTAACATCTTATGTCGTTATCCTAGAATTTATAACGCATAAAATTCAAATCCTAGCTCCGCATCTTGTCACGACCCGAAACCCGCACTGGTCGTGATGGCGCCTCTCGTGAAGACAAGGCCAGCCAACTAACCCAAGTAAACTCTTTCAAAATAAGTAAACATAAATCTCTTGAGCTCGGATAGGTCATTTGAGCTCGGATTTGGGAGTTCTTGGTATGTATGGACTCGTGGCGAGATGAAGAATCCGGTAATGTGAGTTTTGTAATTTTTCGGGAAGTGGACCCGGGGCTCGAGTTTTGCTAGTTTCGAGATTGTTGCTATTTTTCGACTGTTTTCGATTGGGTATTGTCCCATTGGCATATTGTGATATATTCGCTCTGATTTTGGTTAGATTCGACGCGCGTGGAGGCCGATTTGAGGGGCAAAGGCATCGCGAGCTAGAGATTTCGCCAGTTCGAGGTGAGTAATGATTGTAAATGATATCCTTAGGGTTTGAAACCCCGGATTTGCACCCATAGTGCTATATTGAGGTGAATTGCACGCCGGATAGAGAGCGTGGGGTAGAGCACCGTTGGGGATTGTGACTTGTCCATCCCGGTTGTTGATTTTACCGCGTATTTCGCTATGACTTGTTGTTTTTCACTATGACTTGGGCTTATTGCCATATTTGGGGCTTATTGCCGACTGTTTGAACTCCCTATGAGCTATCATCACTGTTTTTCCTCACTATTTGAAATATTATTTGAACTCAGTCCATTGTCATTACACTGTTTCATGAACTCAGCCATATTTTTTACTCAACCTTGAGTTTTAACTGATATTTGGACTACTATTTGAGCTGAGCATTATTGTTTCTTTACTGATGCCCGAGGGGCTTATGATTATTTTGGACTGATTGAGGCCGAGGGCCATATGTGAGGATATGCTGAGTGATGTGAGGAGGCTTTCAGGCCCCGAGTGTATTGTGAGGAGGCTTTCAGGCCTCGAGTGTAATGTGAGAAGGCTTTCAGGCCTCATGTTGATATGTACATGCTTTCAGGCCTTATGATGATATAGCGCTTGGGCTGTAGGAGCCCCTCCGGAGTCTGTACCCCCATAGTGAGCGCGGGTACCCATCTAGAGCGGTTAAATTTTAGACAGTGGTAACAATGACACTGTCATACGCGTTTTGGTCAGGTAACAATGACTGACCAGTGGTAACAATGGCACTGTAATACGCGTT